AACAACTTTTATTTCATGGTAATAGAGTGGAAGTTTCCAAAAGCCATATGATGATATTGGAAGATTGCATACAAAGCCCACCTTCTGTTTCAGCAAGACCAACAGAGCTTTACAAAAGGATCTAACAGTGACATTCTAATTCTTTACATTGTTTGGGAAAGAATTATTTTTATAAAAATACTATTGCTTATAGTAATATAAAAAGACTTATTGGTTTGGGGTTTTTTTGTTGTTGCTTTGTTTTTTGTTTTCAGTCCTGGGGAATTCAACCAGGGCTTTGCAAATTATAGGCAAGTACTCTCACTTAGCTGTGTCCCCAGCCTTCTTTTTATTTCTCTTTTGAGACAGGATCTCAGGGAGTTATAGCCCAGACTGGCCTTGAATTTGCAGTCCTCCTATCTCAGCCTTCCAGATACCTAGGATTACAGGTCTGTACCACCATGGCCAGCTTATTGTTAACTTTTAAATAACTGGTAGACATCTTTAAGTTTTTTATTTAAATTCTTAACAACAAATATTGGTAGATACATAATCTACATAAAAGTTCTTTAGGATGATCTGTAATTCTGAGTTTAAAGGGCTCTGACTAGGATGTAGTTCAGCGGTGCAGTGAGACACCATGTCTCATAAAATGGAGTGTAATTGAAGACTTCTGACATTGAACTTTGGCCTACATGCATGCCTGTATACCCACATGCACAGGTACACACATGATCATGTACATTCACAACATGCTCACACACACCAAGAAAACAAACCAAAAAAAACAAGGTGGAGAGTGATAAAGATACCTGATGTTAACCTCAGATGTCCACATGTACACACATGCTCACGTGTGCATGTTCACCTGTAGACATGCATATCCACACACTGATACACATACATGCAAACCCCAGAAGAGTAATATTAAAAACAATAAGGCTGGTGAATTGAACAAGTTCTATAAACATTTATAAATAGGATTTACTTAAGATTTTTAATCAAGGATTGCTAGAATATCAAGCTGTGTTCAGAGAGAGAGAAAGAAAGAGCTTCATAAAATAGCTGACCTTTGAATTGACTTTTTTCTGATTTCTTTCTTTGTTTGTTTGTTTGTTTGTTTGTTTGTTTTTGTCTTTTTGAGACAGGGTCTCCCTGTAGCCCCAGCTGTCCTAGAACTCACTATGTAGACCAGGCTGGCCTTGAACTCACAGAGATTTGCCTGCCTCTGCCTCCCGAGTGCTGGGGTTAAAGGCGTGCCAGCATGCCCAGCCCCTAAGATTTATTTTTTAAATTACTGTGTGTGTGTCTGTGTGTGTGTGTGTGTGTGTGTGTGTGTGTGTGTCTGTATCTGTCTGTCTGTCTGTCTCTGTATTGGGGTGTATGCACATGAGTGCAGTTGCTTATGGAGGCCAGAAGAGAACATTGGATCCCCTGGAGCTGGAATTAGAGGTGGTGGTGAACCACCTGATCCGGGTGCTGAGAACTAAACCCAGGTTCTCTGTTAGAGCACTACACACCCTTTAACTACTGAACTATTTCTCTAGCTCCCCAAATTGATGCTTGAAAGCTAATAAGAAGTAAAAGGATAACCAATAGAGGAAACAGCTCTGGGCACATAAGATAGTGTGCACTGCACTAGCACGTCAGTGGGTTGGTATGACACTGTCAGGGACGGGATCCCAAATGAAACTGGAGCAATATAATACAGCATGCTGAGAAGTGTGACTTTATATTAAAAGCAGAGTAGCAAGGGGGATGTTGCTGATGAACTTAAAATAAGGAAAATACTGGGGTTAATATTTTAGGAACTCTAGAAAAATGGATTTGTTTGGTGACCAAGAGGACCAAACTAGAGATTGAAAACACAAGCCACTTTGACTGAAGTCAAAGTTAATGAGGGAAGAGTAAAGTAGAGGCAGTGAAAATAGAGAGACAAGACTTCTTCAGAGCTGTTCAACAGTTAGGGTGGAGAGTAGAAGGGAATGGAAGAGGTGGGCCAGTGTGTTCAGTTAACAAGCATATTCTAAGTACTTCATTTTCAAGGCCCTACTCAAAGTACTTGGAATTTGCAGAATTTGACATTCTTGCTCTATTTTGGTTGCTCTTGGTTTAGTGGAAATTTCACAAAATAAAGCCAGTTTTATTAGGAAGTGAGTTCTAAAAGCACAAAAGAAGGATATAGTCACATTTTATTATGTCTTCTCTTCATACTTTCCTCCCTGTGTCCTTCCCCTCTCTCCTTCCCTCTGGCAGGAGACTGACTCCAGGGACTGTCTGCATGCTGGGTATGCACTGTACCACTGCGTTATAACCCAAGTCCTCCCATTCTTCTTAAGCTTAAAATGATACCAGCCCATTTTCTATTGCTATGGCAGAATACCTGAGGCTGGGAACTTTGGAAAAGAGATATATTTACCTCACCCTTTTGGAGACTCTTAAGTAGTCCGTGATCAGGCAGTCCATACATTCAGCTTCTGAAAGGGCCTCATGGTTGGGCCCATGTAGAAAAAAACCAGGAATCCAAGAGAGAGTCAGGCTTGCACTTTGAAAAAAAAACTTGCTCTCATAACAACTCCAAGAAACTTTTCCTTTTCCTTCTGATGGTGATACTGCCATAACCTAACCACCTTCCACCAGCCCAGCCCCCACCCTTAAAGGTTCTGTCACCTTCAGCACTTCTGGATGAACCTTGGAAGAGACACCCAAAGCATAGCAGATAGCTAAATATTGGAGAATATATAGGAATCTGCCAAGCAGTTGTAGCCGTGAGGGTTCCCATACAGGAGAAAATAGTGCAGAGGCTGAGGACTCCACAAGTCTAAGGAAGCTGCTGCCTTGTTTGCCATTGCTGGGAGTATGGAAAACATGCTAGGCAGGTGGAAACTAAGGGAGGGCTGGACATGAAGATTTTGATTAAATGCTTGGAGTACTTGATCACATCAGGGTACAGAGCTTACCCAGAGTTATCTTGTGGGTAAGAGAACCAATAATAAAGCCTTTTCAAAGTCAGCAATTACAGTGATTAGAAGAGACTAGGTAAAGGGTGATGGAGGAGATCCCACAGGTGGGCTAGAGTGCAAGGGAGACTATCAGCCCACACCTCTAGTAAATGCCAAACTGAGTAAGGACTGGAGACTTGTTATTAGTTTTGATATAACTGCTAGTATTTGTTGAATCTCATTCTAATCTGATTAGATGGAGAGTGAGTGACATTAACAGTGGCGCTGACTGGTAGGATTGAGGCACATCAGGAACCGCTCAGTTGACATGGAGGGGTCTGACTTGTCAGAATGGAGCGAAATTTTACACTTAAAACTAAACATTTGGAGATTTCTTTGTACCCATCCTGTTGTCTTCTTAGAGTAAACATCACTTGATATATTATGTGATTCTTTTAAAACAGACTTTAAAAATATTTTATGACTGCATATATCTTGTGTTTAGATGTAGATCATACATAAATCACGTAGGCCGGCTATGGTAAGGCACTTGGCTTGTGGGTGGATTTTTAATTACTAGGTAGTCAATGCATTTGTGATACTGTGTCCTATGATAATTAATGTACTATGATACATTAATAAATGTTTGCCTTTTGTTACAGTTGCTTTATACTACATACTTTTGAGAATCCCCTTATTAAAATAGTTTAATGAGGGGCTGGAGAGATAGCTTATTAAAAGTGTTTGCTTTGGCAAGCATGAGGAGCTGAGTTCGAGTCCCCAGAACCTATGTCAAAATGCCAAGTGTGGTGGCACACACTAGTGATCCCAGTGCTAGGGACGTAGAAACAGAGGAGGATCCCTAGGGCTTGCTGGCCAGCCAGTCTATCCCAATTGGTGAGCTTCAGGCCAGTGAGAGAAGTTAGTGTTCCTAAGGGTGACACACAAGGTTGTCCTCTAGCCTCCATCCACATGTGTACACACACACACACTAAACATTTTAAAAGTTTAATGAGGAAAGTCTCATTAATCTTTTTATGTGTGGGTTCCCAACAGTTAAGAAAAATTAATTAGAAGAGCTTTATTTTTTATGCATTGTCTGATGAGTCATGCTCTCATACCATGCTATGGGAAGAAGATAAGATGATTTAAAGACAACAGTGAGGGCACTGGGAGCATGGATCCCTAAGGCTTGCTGGCCAGCTTGTCTAGTTGAACAGTGAACTCCAGGTTCAGTTAGAGACCATGTCTTAAAAAATAAGGTAGAGAGGGGCTGGAGAGATGGCTCAGTGGTTAAGAGTACTGACTGCTCTTACAGAGGACCTAGGTTTACATGGTGGCTAACAATCCTTCGTAACTCCAGTTCCAGGGGACCCAATGCTTTCTTCTGTCTTCCGTGGGCACTACACAACATGGATGCACTTACATGCATGCAGGCAAAATACTCAGATATAAAATTAAAATGATAAAATTTTTTTTTAATTAAGGTGGAAAGAGATTGAGAAAGACACTTGACATCAACCTCTGCAATGCATGTGCACACATAAGAACGTGTACATACACACATGACACACAAGTCAGTCTCATGAACATTTTTTGTATGCCAGAAGCATTTTTATTTTCTGTCTGTGAATAAAGTTTAGCAAGTTGTAGCTCATTCGCTTCACCATATTTAAGTACTACGCTCCTCGTTCTCTCCAACCCCACCTTAAATAAAGAACAGTGCTTCTGTTCTTATGTCACTTGATTCCTATTGTCTCGGGACATACCTGTTATGGTATACTACATGTTTGTGTGAAAATTTTGGAGGGGGTGAGGATAGGAAGTGCCTCAAATGATAATGAAATTTTGTTCTTTGTTGTAAAGAGTAAGTGCTTTGTAAAGGGAAAAATAAAGACAACCTATTCTAAAAAGAAAATTAAGAAGATACCTAGTTTGATATCAGATGTGCTAAAGCTAGGCTCTTTATATGGATCCTGGAGCTATAGAAGTTGATACTCTTTCAGAGGGGCTGATTAGAACAGTTTTATGTATTTATAGTTACAATTCTGCTTTCCTGTCTCGTTTTTTTCTTTCTAGCCGCTATTTAAATAAGGCTTTTCATATCTGGTCCAAGAAAGATAAATTCTCATCCAGTTTTATAAACAGTGTGATATCCCACACTGGCACGGAACATTCTGTACCAGCCTGGATGCTGCTCTCCAAGATTGCGTGCTCATCACCCAAGCTGGACTACACCAAGATAATGGAGTCTTGGGAGAAAATCAGCAGGTAGCCTCTAAGGGACAGCAGAGGTTATTGGAAGCTCATGTCTCAGGAAATGGCCTGTTTCAGAGCTAGTGCTTTAAATTCTGGCGGAAGAACAAACATGAAAAATAAGAATCACATTTGAGTAGTCAGGTCACCTTTGTCAAAGTTTGTTAGCACCTTAACATTCCCACAGCCAATGGTTAAACCATTTTAACTTTTCTACTTCCAGTATTAATAGTCCAGAAAAGGCAAAAACAGGTTTTTTTGTGTGTGTTTTTGGTAGCACCAGGTTCAATTTAGTTCTCTCTATCCTTTTCTTTAGTGACCAGACTGCAAATTCAAACACCTTAGGATATATGCTGTGTGTCATTGGGCATATTGGAAAGCATCTTCCCAAGAGTACCCGGGACAAGGTGACTGGTGAGTGTCTGTTGTAGACTCCATCTTGAAAGTGCCTTGCCATTCACTTTAGTTTTTTTATATTTCTGTGTATTTTTAAAGCAGTTAAACTTCATGTGCTGTAACTTTCTTAGATGCTATCCAGGGTAAGCTGCATGGATTTCAGTGGTCTCTGGAGTTGATCAGCTCTGCTGTGGACACTTTGCAAAGGCTTTGTAGTGCATCGGCAAAGACAGCGGTGGAAGAGCAGGTACAGTTACACACACTCCTTAGTGTGCTTCTAATGTATTTGTAGTTAGACATGGTACTGTTTTTAAGATGATGGAGTGTTCTCTATAAATAGAGGACATGGAAGGATGTATGGTTCCCAGTAACTATTGCTACAGGTCAGCAGTGGTCACTGTAACTGGACTGGTGACTCTGCATTCAGATAAATAAAAATCATCCATAGGCTAGGCAGCTTTAGAGGTAACACCAGCAGGAGACGTTTGAATATAACATCATAGAAACAGCACAGGCACCTTCCAGGATTATGACAGGCCACTAAAACCATCTGTTGTGCATAGAACGGTATGATTAGGTAAAAAACGATGTTATTAAATGTTTTTGGAATGACAGTCTAGCCTATCACTTATCAGTAGATAATCTTGCAGGGGCTGGAGAGATGGCTCAGCAGTTAAGAACACGGATTGTTCTTACAGAAGACCTGGGTTCGAATCCCAGCACCCACATGGCAGCTAACAACTGTCCGTAACTCTGGTTCCAGGGGATCTGGCAGCTTCTTCTGCCCTCCACAGGCATTACACAACACAGGTGCACTTACCTACATGCAGGCAATGCACTCATACACATAAAATAAAAAATAATAATAAATAAAAAAAAATTAAAAAAAGAAAAGCACACTGAATGTTCTTACAGAAGACCTGGGTTCAAATCCCAGCACCCACATGGCAGCTAACAATTGTCCGTAACTTCAGTTCAGACAACCTCTTCTGCCCTATGCACTTACCTACATGCCGGCAATACACGCATAGACATTAAACAAACAAACAAATAAACAAACAAATAAATAAATAAAAGATAATCTTGGAAAACTGCAAGCAGGAAACAAACATTAACCAATAGGCATATAGTACTAAAAGACATTTGTACCTGGAGTCAAAGTGGAGTCATCTCAGGTAACCTTACGTCTTCAGTCATCAAATCTTGAGGAATACCAGCTGCTAGACCTATGTGAAGATAAGCCAAAGGTCCTACTTGACCATGGTTGGCTTCGCTTGAAAGCATGGAGGAAATGACTCCTCTGTGCTGACCCTCCTCTTTGTAGACTGGACACTGGTTCAAGTCCATCTGGTGGGGTCTCCTCAGCCTCCTTGATCAAGAGGACAGGTGACCTACCACTATCACAGGACATTTTGACAGATGCTTATAGTTCTCTGGAACTTAGTGGACTAGGAGGGAAAGGAGCAAAAACTGTCCTTCATGTCCCTCTGACCAAATTTATA